AACCCACCAGCCACTCCTTGGAAGGAAGTTTGGACAATCTGCTTCCGTAGAGATACCACCTTGGAAACCCAAAGAGAAGTGGCTATGAGTCAAATCTACCCAATGGCAGTGAGTTTGGTTTCTTTTTTTGGTCTTGTTTTGTTATGTTAATGAAACCATCACTTCTTAGTACCGAAAAGCAACCCACCCCACTGCCGTGGAGTCCACTGTGACTCATAGCTACCCTCATTGGATTTCCAAGGCTGTAAATCTTTACGGAAGTCAATTGCTTCATCTTCCTCCCACAGAGCAGCTGGTGGGTTTGAATGGTTGACCTTCTGGTTTGCAGCCAGATGTCTTACCCACTGCACCACCAGAGCTTGTTTCACTTCTGAGTAGTGTCTTATAAAAAGAGCAGGGTAGACATAGAGACACACATACAAGAGGGAAAAACCACACAAGGACTTGTCTATAAGCAAAGGAACCCTAAAGACTGTGGGCAGCCACCAGAAACTAGGAGAGAGGCCCTCAGAAGGAATCCACAGCTGAGACTCTGGTTTGAACATTTAGCTTCCGAACTGTCAAGAATACCTACCTGTTCCTTCCGGCCACCCGTTTGTTTGTTGGTTTGTTTGCTCGTTTTCGTTACAGCAGCCCTAGGTAAAGAAAATGGCTCCAAATTATTGACAATGGTGATTCTTGGCATTTAGGGAGGGGAAGTGGGTGGGGAGGATGTTAAAAGAGGGGTTCTATCCTTTTCCTTTTACGCAATTGTGTAATATTTGAATTTTAAAAATGTGTGCTCTTTCTGTAAGGAACTGTGGTGGTGTGGTGGTTAAGGCACTTGCCTGCTAACCAGTCACCAGGTGCTCCACGGAAGGAAGACGAGGTAGTCTGCTTCCGTCAAGATCTGCAGCCTTGGAAACCCTATGGGGGTTGCTACGACAATCAACTCACTGCCAGTGAGTCTGGTTTTTGAGATGTTCTTTCTGTCATTTCAAAACAAAATAGAAGTCATCGATTAGATATAAACTGGATCTACACTACAGAGAATCAAAGAATTCAATCCATCAGTCTGAGCTGTCTAATTCTACCTGAGTTTGAAAAAGAGTGATACTATCTAATTACCATGAGCCAGCTTGTCATGTGGTAGCTGCCTGGCAGTATTGGTTATGGATGATCTGCTGAAAAAGCCTTCCTCAGGGCAGTGACACTGAAGTGGCCTTGCAGGTTGAACAGGGTTTCCTAACAACGCAGAGAGGGTTGGAATGTTCGTTCCTCTTTCCCCTAAGCAAACTCAGTTCCTCTATTTTGTTGCATTTTAGATATATGTGTATATATATTTTTAATTACCCAAGTTATACATCCTTATTATATATAGAAAGGAGCTCTGGTTGTGTTGTGGTTAAAGCATTCAACTGCTGTTCTGGTTCCCTAGTGCCGCTCTGACAAGAATATACCACAAATGGGTTGGCTTAACAAACAGGAGTTTATTCTTACAATTTGGAGGCTTTAAGTCCAAGTTCAAAGTGCCAAGCTCTAGGGGCTGGGTGAAAGCCCCTCAACCTTGGGGTCCAGCTCTGCCTCCTGCTCCCAGCCCACTGGAGGTAGAGGTATTTCTTCACTCAGACAGCTGCTGGCTGCTGAGGCTGAGAAACCCCAAGGTTGACAACTAAAAAGGCACAGTCCCGATGTTACCAAACCACACGGCAGGCCATTAACTTAAGTCCATTGTAAGTCCTCAGGTCAGCAGAGCATAGCACGGCTACATGCAGGGTTCCAGCGTGCCATAGGCTAGAGACCACTCCCAAGGCTGCTTCTTATATACAGGAGGCAGACCACATGCTAAAGGCAGCTACTCAGCTGCTTGTGGTAGATACCACCATGGAGTTGATTGCCAGTCTCATCATGGGGAATAACTACCACCAGCTGCCCAGCCACTCAGCCAGGCCCAGCCAAGTTGACACGCAAACATACCACCACAACTACTAACCAAAAGGTTGGCAGTTTGAACCTACTACCCACTCTGCAGGAGAAAGATGAGGCAGTCTGCTTCTGTAAAAATTTACAGCCTTGCAGACCCTCTGGGGCACTTCTACTCTGTCCTGTAGGGTCACTATGAGTCAGAATCAACTCGATGACAATGGGTTTGTTTTTTGGTTATTGTAAGTACAAACAAACAAACAAACAAACAAAAAGCTTCAGCAATACAGAAATGTATAAACCTCCCTGCAGAGGCACCTGCAGTTCAGAGTTTTAGATTTTTTTCCATCACCAAACATATAATTTTATTTTTTGTTTTAAATTCTTTTTTATTGAGATATAATTCACATGCTGTAAAATTCACCATTTTAATGTGTATAATTTTGTGATTTTTAATATATTCACAATGTTGTGTAACCATCTCTGCTATCTAATTTCAGAACACGTTCATCACCCCAAAAAGAGAAACCCCACGTCCCATACTAAAAAAAAAAAAAAAAAGATAAACAGACTATGTAAGTCAGGACAACTTCTTGTCTCCCTTTGCTGCTTGACCCTGTGTGGGGATTTCTCAGGCAAATGTTACAGCTCTTAGCTCTGTGAGTCAGCAAACCTCCCCACAGCTGACTGGCACGGCTATCGCTCTTGCTACTGCACTACCATCTCTCACTGTCTTTGGTCTTACAGCTCCTTCATCTCTCTCTCCCTGTCTCTCTCTTTAAGCCTAGAGGGATGGCAAGACTGACCAATGTCCTCATTAGGGTTCTAGGCACCTTATTTGCATTAGCAGCAAGCTGTCCAATCCCCTTGGTGGGCCACAAGCAGATTATTTAGATAGTCCCACCCAATCGTTGTGTGGGAGTCACAAAGACTATGGCTAGAAGGGCCGTATGAAGCAGTTCACTGTGCTGCAGGTGGTCCCTGGCTCTTGTAGCCATTGGCTCTTTCATACTTTAAGAATTAACTTCATCTGTCGTTCTTCACTCCCCCTGCTCCCTGGCAACCACTAATCTACTTTTTATCTATATAGATTTGCCTATTCTGGACATATCATTTAAATGGAATAATATGTGACTTTTTGTGTCTTTTTCTTTCACTTAGCATAATGTTTTTAACATCTCTCCGTGCTGTAGTGGGTATCAGTTCTTCATTCTTTTTTTATAGCTGAATGAACTCCTCACAACTGGACCAATAAGCAATATCATGATAAATAGAAAAAATACTGAAATTGTCAAGCATTTCATTTTACTTGGATCCACAATCAACACCGATGGAAGCAGTAGTTAAGAAATCAAGCAATGTATTGCATCAGGCAAATCTCCTGCAAAAGACTTCTTAAAAATGTTAAAAAGCAAAGATGCCACTGAGGACTAAGATGTGCTGGACTGAAGCCATGGAATTTTCAAATAACTCAAATGCATCCAAAAACTACACAACGCATGAGTGGCCTACTTGATATGGCGCTTCTAGCCATGGTCTTTTTGACTCCCACCAGATGACTGGATGGGACTATTGAAAATGTGAGGTACTTGTGGCCTACTAAGTGGACTGGATAACTTACTAATGATGTAAATAAGGGCATGGCACCCACGGAGTGATAAAGCTGAGTGCTTCTGGGTAGGAAGCTTGCTGGTGGAGTGGGGTGCTTCTGGTCACTTGATGGAGAACACTTGCCCAAGCATGGCAGAGGCCTTGAGGCCGCAGGCTGAGAGGCTGAGGGCCAGAGAGAGGCGTGCCTGCAGGCACTGTTGAGAAGAAGCTGTCCTGATCAAAGAACTGTATCCTGAGTTGTTTCAGATCCTGAATTGTAACCTGTTATTTCACTAATAAACCCCATAATTGTTAGTATTATTGGCAAGTTCTGTGTGGCCATTGCTCTGGTAGCATAGTGCCTAAGACTATGACTGCTAACCAGAAGGCTGGTGGTTCAAACCCACTAACCACTCCTCAGAAGGAAGGTTGAGCAATCTACTTCTGTAGTGATACCGCCTCGGAAACCCAAGGAGGAGTTTCTATGAGTCGGATCCGACTCGATAGCAGTGGGTTTGGTTTTTTGGTAGTGGGTATGAATAGGAGAAATATGTGGCAATCTACTTTAATAAAGAGTTACAGCCTTGGAAACCCTACAGAGCAATTCTACTCTGTGGTATAGAGTCACTATGAGTCGGAATTAGCAATGGTTTTTTTCAGTTGATATGAAGTGGTATATCATTGTGGTTTTGATTTGCACTTCTCAGATGACTAATGATGTTGAACATCTTTTTAATGAACTTATTGCCATTTATCTATCTTCTTTGGAGAAATGTTTATTCAAGTTCTTTGCCCATTTTCTTTCTTTAATTGAGTGATTTATCTTTTTATTGTTGAGTTGTAAAAGCTCTTTATATAGTCTAGATACAAGTCCTTTATCAGATATATGATTTGCAAATATTTTCTGAATCTGTGTGTTTTATTTTTTGTTTTTTAGAACCAAGATGAGTTACGAAACACAGTGTTCTGTAATTTGCTCTTTTAAAAGAAAAAGAAAAAAAAAACTCAACAAAACCCAGCATATTGTGGACATCAATATATTTTTTTTCTCTCTGCCACATTTTTTTTTCCTTCCTCATTCTTTTTATGGATGCATAGCACTCTATTATGGTTGTACTGCCACTTACATGGCCAGTCCTCTACTGAGCTTTAAAAAGTCTTAAGTTCTTGTGTTGGTGAAAGACTGTGATGCAGCCAGCTACTCTGGGGCAGGAGGGGCAGCCCTCTGATTGCTGAGCTGCCCGCTCTTGGATGATGTGAACATGCAAGTAGGCACAGGAAACATCTCTAACCTGCTTACACTTCCCCTATGAACCCTGTGGTTTCACAACCCCCACAGGCACACACCCCAAGTGTCACCAGCCTCTCGCCTCCATGAGAACGTCTCACTGTGAGAGGCCACAGGGTATTGTCATTTCCCTCTTTCACTCTGTCTAGATTGCCAGCAAATCCCAAGGGCCCTCTAAGACTGGGGCCCGTGTCCAGGGATCCCTCCAGAGTCTTGAGAAATGAAGAATTCGTGCATCATTCTAAGGAGACTGCTGCTGTCTGGGACCTTTCTCTTCGGTAGGCAAAGGAGGAGCAGAGGGGAGTACAGAGGAGGGGAAGGCCAGGTGTCTGCGACCAGAGAAACTACAGCGGAACAATAAATGGGGTGATGCTCTAAGGATGGTGCTGGCACAAGAGGTGATGTTGGGTCCAGAAATCCTGGAGGAAGATGGGAAAAAGCGAGCGACAGGCAAGGTGTGGGAGACACAGAGGAGGAAGACAAAGATGGCGATTGTTAGACAGGGGCGTGGGGAGGCCTTTTTAAAAGGCAGATGGCAATTGAGATCTAGAGTTTGGAGGAGGGTGCTGGGTTCTGGTCCTTGCCATGGAACTACTTCTCTGATCTTAGACAAGACTTTTTCTTTTCTGTGCCTGAGTATCTTCATCTGAACAAAGAAAGGGCCAGCATCTCTGAGATGCTAAGATGCTGTGAAGTAAACCTGGTGCCTGGAAGGAAGGCAGGACCAGAAAGGACAGTTTGGGGTGTACACATGATGCTTAGGCTGTCTGAGGTGGGGTGTGGCATGGGGGAGTCTGAGCTCTAATGGCTAAAGACAAAACTGGTCCATAGTGAAGGTGGGAAGTGTGGTAGCATCAGATGAGTGAGGATGTGGCCTCACAGGCATTAGGGATCTTGAATCTCCCTGTATGCTGGAGAAAGTCAGAGGCTAATTATCTGACTTCTCAGAAGTGTGGGCTCTATGACCGAGGGAGAAGTGAGTGTGTGGGAAGTGCACCCTGCCTCGGGCATCCCCATCTTAGTCCCTGCCTGGGAACCTGAGTGCTCCAAGCCTCCAGGAAGTGGAAGGCAGGCCCTTTGGTCTTTTCCTCTCTCATGGATCTTATCATTCTTTCTTCTTTGCTGAGAGGTCAGACAGGAAGTTGCTGTGTTCTTCCCAGGCCCTGGTGCTGCCAGAGCTCTGAGTAGGAAGGATTTGCTGCTTCCATCTTTCCCAGAGTCAAGGGCCGCAAGGGGAAGTCCAGGAGGGCAGGTTCCAAGTCTGCCTGACTCAGGTGTGGGCAGCCTGGGGTGGAGGCAGTCCCATTTTTGCTGGCATGTGAGTCTTTGGGACTGGGTTCAGCACCCACACTTCTTTCTCAGGGTGCACATCGGGGTCCCTGGCCCAAGTGGCTAATGCCATCTCCTCTCCCTCAGTGCCAACCTTGAGCTACAACCTGGACGTGCGGCACGCACAAAATTTCTCCTTCCAGGACGCCGGGAGGCATTTTGGGTACCGTGTCCTGCAGGTTGGAAACAGGTGAGCTCCCCTCCGCTCTGAGTCTTCCCGGCCCCACACAGGTGAGGTGCCCCTGTCAGTCCTGGTGTTACCTGTTGAATCAGGGAAGGTCGCCAGGGCCTTCCTGTCTTGAGTGCGTCCGTGGGATTTCTCTGGAAACACAGGGCCAAACAAAGCTATCAAATAGGCTGGGATGACAGCCACATCATTAAAGTGCCACACAAGTGCCTTGTAGAAGGACCCTTTCTGGGATTCTGAATCTTTCCCTGACCAGGCAGTGAACAGTTTGAAGGCAGAAGTTTTGTTTCTCATTTTTCCATCTATGCCTAGGACAGATCCCCGTCTAGCACATGGTAGACAGGCTGTAAATGGCTTTTGAACTAATGACTGATTTAATGAACTCATACATGACATTCTGGCAGATTGTTCTGGGTTTCAGTTCTTCTAGTCCATAAATTGAAAAGATTCTTAATTTTCTGTTGTTGTTGTTGTTGTTATGTGCTGTCGAGTCAGCCCCGACTCATAGCAACCCCTTCTTGGGTTTCCGAGGCAGTATCACTATGGAAGTAGGATGGCCCAAACTTCCTTCCAAGGAGTGGCTGGAGGGTTTGAACCACCAGCCTTCTGGTTAGCAGTCAAGTGCTTTAGTCACTATGCTACCAGAGCGCCTATAGAGTTTTTTTTTTTTTTTTTTAAATCTTCTGGAATTTTAATGTATGGGATGATTATCTTGGATTAACTAGAGAAGAGGTAGAGGGCTGAGAAGGCCCCCTGAAAGGAGTGACTAAATTGCTTTAAGATACCTGGTGGGGGATCTGAACCCTATAGGCCGGAGTGGGTAGGTAAAGATCTGGGCACCTCACGAGTGAGATTTCTTACCAGGGTTGTCGTAGGAGCTCCAGGTGAGGGGAACAGTACAGGAAACCTCTATTGGTGCCAGTCAGACACTGGACACTGCCTGCCAGTCAGCCTGAGTGGTGAGTAACTGGTGGGGAGCTGGGAGGAGTGTTGTCTCAGGGGAATCAAGACTGGCTCTAACACACCTGGATTGCCTAAGTTCTTCCAGACCAACCTTCTGATGCCTACAGGTTCCAACTATACTTCCAAGTACTTGGGAATGACCTTGACGACAGACCCGACAAGTGGAAACCTTTTGGTAAGATTTTGTGTAGGTTGATATCAGAACTTGTGACACTAGGAAAGAGAGATTGAATAGAAGAAAGAAGGAAATGGAGAAACGATCCTGCCAAAGGTTAAAGTCATCAAAGAGATTCAGATTTCATCATGTGTGTTGAGAACCTATTATAAGCTATCTATTTTCAAGATCTTACTTACCTCAGTTGTTTTTCCAAATATAAAATATCTATGACCATTGATAAACAAGATGATTTTTGATGGACACAACCTTTTTTTAATGTACATATATAACATTTTATTGTGGTTTGGGTGAGAATTACACCAACTTTTAATGTTTTAATAGTTATATATGTATTTAAGGGAGCTCTGGTGGTGTGGTGCCTAAGGCATGTGACTGTTAACCAGAAGGCTGGCGGTTCAAACCCACCAGCCACTCCTCGGAAGGAAGGTTGGGCAATCTACTTCCATAGTGATACCGCCTCGGAAACCCAAGGAGGTATCACTATGAGTCAGATCCAACTCGACGGCCTCTGCCCTGCTTGGGCAAGTGTTACAGAGTTCTTTTAGCTCTGCTGATAGGTGCCTGAGGGGCACCCCACTCCACCAGCAAGCCTCCTGCCTGAAGGCACTCAGCTTTCTCGCTCCATGTCCCGGGAAGCCCCCCACTCTGTCCTACCAGTCTCTAAGTCCTGCCCCACTGCTGCTGCCATTTCTCTGTGCTGCTTCTCACCATCTTAGTGCGGGGATCTCAGGTCCAAGAATATGCTCCAGTCCTGGCTCTTCTTTCTTGATGGTAGTAAGATTCCCCCTTCCACCTCAGGGATGACTCATTTTAAGCCCAGCGGATGGCAAAACTGACCAGTCCCCACATTAGAATTCCATACATCTTTTTGCGTGGTCCCACCCATATGAGGTGGCCATGTACCTTACATTATTAACAAGCTATTGAATCCCCTTGGTGAGCCACAAGCACATCACATACTTATGGTCCCACCCAGTCATCTGGAGGAAGTCACAAAGATCATGGCTAGAAAAGCCATATTATGTAAGTCACTGCACAGCAGGCCTCAAGACAGTCAGATGAGATAGGGATCAGTATATACAGTTTACACATGAGGAAACAGGACCAGAGACTGCCAAGGTCATGTGGTTGCCAAGTGGTAGAGCCAGAATTTTAATCAAATTGTCATTTGATTCTAAACCCACTGTTTTTTTCCATTTCATCTCAGTAGCATCATTCTGACTCTTCTTTGTGAGAGAAAGCTCTTGTACTTAACTACTGTGTATACCAGGCACTGTGCTAGGTTCTGATGGAAGAAGGGGCGTGGGATATAAAGATAACTATGATATGAGCCTTGACTTTTAGAAACTATGATCTGGCAGGCAAGACAGTCATACGTGAAAGAAACAGCATTTATATTCTGGGAATAATGAGCAATTTGGCATAAATACAGAATGTGTGATTGGGAATGGGTAGAGGGTGGGCCTGTAAAAGTAGGATAATGCCCAAATGTAAGAAATTTTGAACACCAAGCTAAGGAGTGTAGACTTTACCGTATAGGCAGTGAGTGTCCAGTGATCTACGGCATTGGTAGTAGTGATAGACAGGCAGATATAAGACATTTTGGAGGCAACCAGTTAGATGTAAGGAGTGAGGGAGGACCATGACCCTGAACGTTTTTGTTCTCGGCTAATCATGTCCAAAAGACACACAAGAGGAAGCCCCAACCCTTTTACTTTTGCTTCCTTCAGGCCTGTGACCCTGGGCTGTCTCGGGTATGTGACCAGAACATGTATCTAAGTGGCCAGTGTTACCTCTTCCCCAAGAATCTGGGGAGCCCTGTGCTGCAAGGACGCCCTGGTTTTCAGGGTAAGCTTTCCCAATCCATGACTGAGAAAGACCCCACAAGTGAGGACCTAGTGGGTTAAAAAAACCCTCCAAGTGGCTGCCCCTGCATGAGAACCAGCATTGGGGGTCTAAACACTAGAGACATTTCACCAGGTCCTTTTATGTCTGGTCTCTGCAGAATGTATCAAGGGCAACGTAGACCTGGTATTTCTGTTTGATGGTTCAAGGAGCATGCAGCAAGATGAATTTCAGAAAATTCTGGACTTCATGAAGGACGTGATGAAGAAACTCAGCAACTCTTCCTACCAGGTAAGTACATTGGAATTTTTGGTTGTAAGCAACAGTTGCCTATCTGAACTAGCTTAAGCCTTTATGGAAATTTTAATATGAGATGTCTCCACACCTAAGGGTATGGCTGTAACTGGACTTCAGGAAGGGACGAGAATCAGGGGGCAGAAAGCTGCTAGAACTTTCTAGTTTCCATTTCTCTTTCTCTGCTTTTGCTTCCCTCTTCTATCTCAGTGGCCTGGCTCCCTCAGCTTCTTGGGGTCACATGAGATTGTAAAAGGTCCCATGTTCACATGTTAAAGTTCCAAGAGAGTTTTTTACCTTCTTCTCAACCAGCTCTTTCTTCTGCAGATTCCAGATTTTCAGGGAAGAGATTCTGATTGACTTAGCCTCAGTAGGTGACCACCCTCGACTCAACCAGTTATATCCAGTTTAGTGGGGTGGTCAACAGAATATGGCTCCCGGGAACCATCCCTCCTGACGAGATAGGTAGACTCAGACCCAGAGAACAGGAGTTCAGCGAACAGCACTACAGAAGGAAGTGGAGACTAATTTTACTTCTGTTTGTTTGCCTCATTTTCAAAAGAATGGTTTGAGGCAGGCATGTGGTATTGGGTTGCTCAGGTCCTGGATCAGAAATAGGGATTGGAGCAGTGTAAAAAGGTCATGGGGGAGGCTTAGCCCGACCTCCACTAACTTCACAAGGGGGAAGAAGGATCAAGGTCAACAGCCCAAGGCTGATTCCTATGAAGCAGAGGTCAGACACGCAGTCACCCTCCAAACCTCTTGCCAATTCCGACACCAGCCATCCTTCCCACAGTGCTCTCTTCTTCTCTGCTGAGTTCGATAATTCATTGCATTGGCCGCACAGAATTCACAGACAATACTCACGATTATGGAGTTTATTAGGGAAGAAACAGGTTTTAATTCAGGATCAGAAATGACTCAGGATACAGTTTTTTGATCAGGACAGTTTCTTCTCAGCTGCTTCTCTCTGGCCTTGGCATCTTAGCACTGCATTCCCTTGGATTCTTCCCTGCTCAAGCAACTGTTAGACAGCTCTTGTAGTGTTGCTGATAAGTGCCCAGAGAGGCCCCACTCTATCAGTAAGCCTCCTGCCTGAAGGCACTCAGCTTTCTCACTCTTGGCCAGGAAGCCTAGCAGTCTGTCTCATGCTGGTCTCAGCTGCTGGTCTCCGTTACTGAAGTTTGCCTCTGTGATTTCTCTGCCACTGCTTCTTGCCCTCTCTTGCCATCTCAGCAAAGTGTTACAGTTTGTTCTGTCTCTTGGGTCAAGGAATTTTAGTGCAGGGATCTTGAGTCCAAAGGATGCACTCCTTCTTGATGGTAATGAGATCCCTCCTTCTATCTCTAGGATGGCTCATTTTAAGCCGAGCAGGGTGGCAAAACTGACTAATGCTCACATTAGGGTTCCATACACCTTATTTGTGTGGTCCCACCCCCACAAAGGTGCCGTGTACCTTAATTACATTACCAGCAAGTCATTCAATCCCCTTGGTGGGCCACAGACACATCACATGTTCATAGTCCCACCCAGTCATCTGATGGGAGTTGAAGACTGGCTAGAAGGGCCATATTAAGTAATTCACTGCGTTGCAAGCAGATAAGTGGAAAGAAATAATGTAACTACATATCATTTCTTCTTTCCTTTTCTAGTTTGCTGCTGTTCAGTTTTCCACAACCTACAAAACAGAATTTAATTTCTTGGATTATGTTAAGCTGAAAGACCCTGATGTCCTGTTAGCCAATGTGAAACACATGCTCCTGTTGACCAACACCTTTGGTGCTATCAACTATGTCGTGTGAGTGCCTTCTTGCAGGAGAGAGCCTATCCATTCTAGCCTCTTCCAGTTGTAGGGTTTGGGAACTCACACAGGTTGGCTCAGCAACAGGCAATGTATTGTGAGTTTTCCAGTGGATCAGTGTTAGTCAGGGTTCTTTCGACTATAAGTAAGAGAAACCCACTCTATACTGACTAAATCCAGAAGAGAAATTCTTGGGAGGTTATAATGATAGCTCATGAACTTTTGGAACAGGAAGTGTTGCCTCATAAGAGACTAGAACCAGCACCTGGAAAGTGGTCATGAACTAGTCACAGTGGGGGTCAGCTTTTGAAGTCAGTGCACAGAAATCTCAAATAATCCAAATTATGCTTGAAGAGTTCCTTGAATTGTTTACAAAATCCAGCATATTCAAGTCACGCATTGGAAACTGGCTTTCCCTGGATTCCTAAATTCAGCACAGAAGACGTTTTCCCCCAGAGTTGGGTCAGATTCCAAAAAAGACCCAAATTCACTACCATCAAGTCAATGTTGACTCATAGCAACCCCCACTGGTTTTCTGAGGTGGTAAATCTTTATGGAAGTAGATTGCCCCATCTTCCTTCCACAGAGTAGCTGGTAAGTTTGAACCACCAACCTTCTGGTTAGCAGTCAAATGTCTTAGGCACTGAGCCACCAGAACTCCTTCTGGATCAGACTATTGTGTTTAAATTGAAGCCTGGATGAAATTAGTTGGATTGTGCCGAAGGGCCATGCTGTATTAAAGCACTAAAACAACAAAACAAACCTATCTTTAAACATTAGGGTGGCTGTGAGAATACAGAACAGATTTGGGGAAGAGGAGAATGGTATCTCCTGTCTCACTCTCACCCTGGGCAGACACTCCTACTGAGTGAAATAGAGAAAAGATTTCATGCACTATTTCACTTATTTTCCTCATTTTCATTTCTTTGCCAAGCATGTATCATTGAATTTGCATGAGTTAAACATGCAGGTCATGTACCTCCCTAAGGCTCTCCATGTGTGTGGTTCAAGCTCTTTGGAGTTCACTTGCTTTACATATGTCTACTTTATTCTTCTGTTTCTGTAGACAGCTTTGGTATGTAAAGGGTCAAACATGTCACTCAAAAATATATATATATATGGCAGTCTTAATTTAGATGAACAGCCTGAATTCCAGCTCCCAAGACAGACAATCTGATTGGCTGATACTAAGTCAGGTGTCCATGGGTCCACCCAACTATTACCTGGTCTACCTTAAGGCATAGGGTCACCTAGCATAAGCATGGATTCTAGGGTCCCACCTCTGTGGGAAGGGGGTTATTCTTGGAGAAAGGGTGCACCATAGGAGAGGAAGACACCCTAAAAGGTATCAACTGTGGAAGCAAAATGAGACAGTCATGGAAACTTATTTAACAAATATTTCTTGACCATCCACTATGTGTCAGGCAATATTCTAGATCAGAGATTGGCAAACTTTTCCTGTGAAGAATCAGATAGTAAATATTTTAGGCTTTGCTGACCAGATACAGTTTCTGTTGCATATTCTTCTTTGTGTTTATATCCCCTGCATGAATAATAATCAGCATGAGGCTGATCCCCAAAATGTGAAGATAATTCACATCCCCACTTCTCCATCCCTGACACCAGACACCTATATGATGTTTCTCTCTTTCAATCGCTAACCACCCAGAGTTAGGCCTTTATTTAGATGACTGCCCAAGTGCCTCCACAGTTCTTTCTTCACCAACCACCCAAAGCTGGTTCTTTACAAATTAGGACTCTGTCCTTCTAATCCACTGCCAAGTAGACAGATGTCAGGCCTTGTTGACTTTCATTAATCCCAATAATTCACTAGAATGACTCACAGAGCTCACTATAACCTTTTAAATATAACCACAAAATGATGTCCATGAAGAGAGGCACAGGTGAGGTTTGGGAGAAGTTTCTGGCACAGAGTTTCATGTTCTCAGAGACACGCCAGCCCTTCCGTGTGCATCATCAAGCCAGAAACTCAAAGGAAGCTCCAAGGCCTAGAGTTCTTTGTAATAGTCATTGGGCCTCAAGGTGTATGCACGACTGGGACCTTAATGCATAGCCAGTGATTGACTGAATCACTGAATATTCATGACTGATTCCATCATGTCCTCCTCCCTTTTCCTGAAGTGAATTCTCCAGACACGGGTCCTTGGGCTCCTCCCTCATTTACACATGTTTAAGGGTTGTCTGGCTGTTTTATGAAACAGAAGACATGTGGGATTTCTGGGGAAACCCAAGGGCTATATTCAGAAACTAGAAACAAAAGACCAAATCCAGTTCTTTGTCTCACAAACCCTTTAAAAATATGGAAAGCAGTCTTAGTTCATGGATCGTATAAAAACAAGCCACAGGCTGGATTTAGCTTGTGGACTGTTGTTTGTCAATATATATTCTAGGTACTGTTGTTGTTGTTGTTGTTGTTAGGTACTGTTGAGTCAGCTCCCACTCATAGCGACCCTGTGGACAACAGAATGAAACCCTGCCCGGTCCTGTGCCAGCCTTGCAATCCTTGCTGTACCTGAGCCCATCATTGCAGCCACTGTGTCAATCTATTTCATAGAGGGCCTTCCCCTTTTTTTGGTGACCCTCCACTTTACCAAGCATGATATCCTTCTCCAGGGAATGGTCCCTTCTGACCACATGACCAAAGTAGGTGAGACCAAGTCTAGTTATTCTCACTTCCAAGGAGCATGCTGGCCACAGTTCTTCCAGCACAGACTTGTTCCTTCTTCTGGCTTGGTGCTTTCAGTATTCTTCGCCAACACCACAACTCAAAAGCATCAACTCTTCTTCAGTCTTCTTTATTCATTACCCAGACCTCACATGCGAATGAAAGTATTGAAACTACCATGGCTTGGGTTCGGCTCACCTCAGTCTTCAAAGAGACATCTTTGCTCTTCAGCACTTTACAGAGATCTTTTGTAGCAGATTCTCCCAGTGCAATACACCATCTGATTTCTTGACTGCTGCTTCCATTGGAGGAGCTCTGGTGGCCTAGTGCCTAAGGCATTGGACTGCTAACCAGAAGGCTGGCGGTTCAAATGTACCAGCCACGCCTCAGAAGGAAGGTTGGGCAATCAACTTCCGTAGTGATACTGCCTTAGAAACCCAAGGAGGGGTCACTATGAGTCGGGTCCAACTTGACGGCAAATAACAACAGCTTCCATTGGTGTTGATTATGGAACCAAGTAATAGGTTATATAATAGAAATGTTGTTGTTGTTGTTACATGCCGTCGAGTCGGACCCATCTCATAGAGACCCCTCCTTGGGTTTCCTAGGCAGTCACTACAGAAGTAGATTGCCCCATCTTCCTTCCGAGAATAGTAATGGAAAATATAAAAAATAGGAGCAATAGAAATACAAAAAAACAGTTTCCATTGAGTTGATTTCAACTCGTGGTGACCTCATGTGTGTCAGAGTGGAACTGTTCAGTGATTGACTTTTGGAAGTTGATTTCCAGGCCTTTCTTCCAGGTCACCTCTCGGTGGACTTGAATGTCAGTTGGCAGCCAGGCACATTAACCACGTCCACTGCCCAGGCCACTAGCAATATGGCAATGAACACAGCAGACAGAAATCTCTGCCCTCTTGGAGCTTAGTATTCTAGTCGTGGACAGAAATACAATAAATAGAATAAATAAGTAGATTGATATTGTAGAAGGTATATGTATTATAAAGAAAAGTAAAGCAATATTCAATAAGAAGAACAGGGAAGAAAGATTTGTTGAAGCGGAGGAAGTGAGCCAAGTGGATACCCGGGGAAGGCCATTCCAGGCAAAGGGATTTGCAAAGGCCCTGAGGTGAGAACGTGCTTAGGCTGTTCAAGGAAGAGCCAGGATGCCAGTGTCGCTAGAGAGATGTGATGGAGAGGGGAAAGGAGCAGGAGATGAGGTGAGAGAGATAATGAAAGTCAGGACTAGTGGGGACTTGGAGGTCATAGTGAGGGTTTAGGCCTTTCTGTGAATACGATGAGAAGGCACTGGAAGTTTTGAGCAGAAGAGTGCCATGATCTGATATGTTTTTAAAGGGCCCCTATGGCTGCAATAGGAGCTCTGGTAGCATAGTACCTAAGGCACTTGATTGCTAACCAGAAGGCTGGCGGTTCAAACCCACCAGTCACTCCTTGGAAGAAAGGTTGGGCAATCCTACTTCTGTAGTGATACTGCCTCGGGAAACCCAAGGAGGGGTCGCTATGAGTCAGGGCCGACTCAACAGCACATAACAACAACAACATGGTTGCAATACTGATTTTAGACTGTAGTGGGGAAGGATGGACGCAGAGAGGCCAGTGGGGAGGCTATTGAAAAGTCCAGATGGAAGATGTTGGCGGTTTAACCCAGGGTGGAAATTCATGAACCAGAGCCACAATAGGTGCACATCCATGCAGATGGAGGTTGGAGAAATGTTTCGGATCCAGGATAGAACTAGGTCTCGATAGCAGGCGTCTGCGGCCCTGCGCATCAGGCTGAGTGCAGTCTGCTCCTGTCTTTGGCAGCTTCCGTAGCTTTCCCTCCTTCCTCTCTGTGTCTCTTCCGCTCCCCCGGAGGCGTCTCCAGCCTTATCACACGGCTTTCAGCTTCTGCTCCGAGTCAGGCCTGTCATAGGCGTGGAGTGTGGATTGGCCGCTCTTGGACAATTATGTCCATCTCTGGTTATCCGGGGGGGTGGGGAAAGAAGGATCAGATGGTTCACCCAACCTGCTTCAGAAGGAGGCTGTGGCAGGACTTTGAGCCTTGACCTGTCCAATATTCAGTCGTCTGTCTCCTTTACTTCACATGCGTGCCAGGAGTCAGAGATACAGAAACAAATCAGATATGGTCCTTTCCTTGAGGAGCTTGGGGTTTAGGGAGAAAACTGACACAGAAACAAACCATTACAGTTCCAAAGTAAGTACCATAGCTGTGCTTGGTGGGCAGCCTGGGGGTTGTAGGGAAGGCAGAGGAGGTGGCCATAAGAGCTTGCTCTCAAAGAGTAGCTTTTCAGTGTTCTTTGGCCAGAAACTCTTTTTTTTTTTTTTTTTTTCTTTTTCCATTGAAATCTTACCAACATATCTAACTGATTAAAGGGTAGTGCTATGTGGGTAAAATAGAGAGAGCCCAGAATCACCCCTCCCAAAGCTTCTTCTCATTGCCCATGAACCCCTGAGATAGCCATTGGACTACCTCGAATACAATTTGAGTAGAGTTTGAATACCACTAGCTCAGGTTGATGGTTTGAACCCACCAGCCACTCCATGGAAGAGAGATGTGGCAGTTTGCTTCCATAAAGATTTACAGCCTTGGAAACCCAATGGGGGGTTTCTATGAGTTGGAATAGACTCAATGGCAGTGAGTTTTTTGGAGTCAAGAAGGAGAAGTGTGGCAGCAAAGATGAGGTGGGAAGCTTGGAGGAGCACATTGAAGGTTTGGAGTATCTGGGAACTGTGAGAAGGGCTTTTGCACAGAGTGAGAGGGCAGTGACCTGATTTCGGGCACTGGTAGAAGGGACGGAGGACGGGGAGGAGGAAGGAAGAAGGGAGACCTGAGGCCCAGGTTTGAAAGAAGTCTCTCCCATCCCTCCTTCCTGGACACAGGACAGAAGTGTTCCGGGAAGAGCTGGGGGCCCGGCCAGATGCCACCAAAGTGCTCATCATCATCACAGACGGGGAAGCCACTGACAGGGGCAATATTGACAAGGCCAAAGACATCATCCGCTACATCATTGGGGTATGGGCCTCCAGGCTCCTGGCCTCTTCTTATATTCATCTCTCTCTCTCTCTCTTTCTCTCTCTCCTCTTCCTGATTCCATTCCCCTTTTTGTCTGGGAGCTGGGAGTTGTGAAAATAATAGAAAACTGCTCTGAGATTCTGGCGATGCCACCTCTTCACTCCCCCACAGATTGGGAAGCATTTTAGGGCAAAAGAAAACCAGGAGGCACTTCACCAATTTGCCTCAAAACCCACAAAGGACTTTGTAAAGATTCTGGACACGTTTGAGAACCTTAAAGATCTGTTCACGGATCTACAAAAGAAGATCTATGACATTGAGGGTGAGTGGTGCACACGGGGCGGAAGCGTTTGGGAGGCTGTGAACAGAGAGAACCATTAGATTAGAGACAGTGAGTAACAGTGACACTTACTGAGTATCTGACCCTGTGACAGAGCTCTCCTGAGAAGAGCCTCCAGTAGGAATTTAGGAGAGGTTGAGAAACGTGGCTTGACATTTCCCTCTTCCTTTTGGGGCTCAGTTTGATCCAGGTTAGGGCCCAGGGCTGGCCTTTATCTTGCTAGTGTCCTCCGAGCCCTGCAGAATGGCTTCCTACCCTTGCTCAACTTCACATTTCACTCATCCTAGGATCCACGTTACTTAAGATGTTGGCAAGCGAACAGGGGCCCAGTGTAAGGACCCCACAGGCGCTCTTCCTTGGCCTGGAATAGGAGAAAGTTTTTATTATAGTCACCAGGTGGAGACCTGGCTACAGGTAGATATTTCCACAGGAAGCTTAGTGTGTTAAAAGAGACATGATTCCCACAGCAAGTCCCCTTTGATAGGACGCATCCTTAGTGTTCCGTCCAGTTGAAGAAGCAGTGTGGTATGTATAACTGAACCATGCAGACATGCTCAAGGATCCATTCTGCCTCTGACTTGCTATGCCACCTCAGACAGGTCACTTTCCCTCTCTGAGCCTCATTGTACTTCTCTGTTAAATGAAGTCAATGCTACTAACCTCACAAGCTTGATTAAGGTTTAACTGCTTAGAAAAATGCTTGGTGTGTTATAGGCTGCCTATAAATGGCAGCTCTTATCTCCAGCCCTTATCCTCTACTCTGGCCTGGCCAACTCTTCCTTATCCTTCCAGATTTTACTTCAGATGTCCTTACCTTTGATAAGTTCTTGCTGATGCCCCAAGATTGGGTTACATGCTTTTCCCCTGTGGGCTGCTGAACCCACTGTACATCCCTATCCTCACCCTGTTACACTGTGCTCTGTTGTCCACTCAGTCTCCCTCCCACACTGAATTGTGACGTCTCTCCCAACAAATATCGTGTGCTTTTTTCACCATTGTATCCTCAGCATCAAATATTTTGTGATTCTAAATATGTATTCAATGAATGAATAAATCATCATGATTCAATGCTATATTTCTTACATGTAACAGGCAATTTATATTACTTAATCTAGTCCTCTCAGCAAGTCGTGTAAGGCTGGTGGTACTTGCATTTTATTAATTCATGCTTGCAACAACCAACTATCAGGCGCTGTGACTAAGACACACAGGGGTTCTGCTGAAGGAGAATTCATGTTCAAGTGGGGTAGAGAAAGTTGCTGAACAAAACAAACCTGACAATTAAAGATTGTGATAGATCCTGCAAAGAAAAGGAATACAGTCATAAGATACATGGAACTGGGAGAGGCCACTACAGATAGGTTTTTCAAAGAAGGCCTCTGTGAGGCCACTTTTGAGCTGAGACATGAAATATGAGAAACAAACTGTCGTGAGAAGGATATGGACAAAGGGCAAAGGGAGAGCAAGCAAAGTCCAGGCGGTGGGAAAGGGCTTGGCCTGTTGATGGAATTAAAGACGTCACCGTGATAGGAGCACACTAAGGGAGTGAGCAGGTTGGAGAGACGGCGAAGGCCTCCCAGGCCCTCGTAAGGGGTTTGAGTTTTAGTCCCAGGAACAATAGGAAGTAATGACCTTTTCAAGAAAAGGAGAGGCGTCATCTGATACACATTCTCTATAAAAGATCACTCTAGCTTGCTCTGTGGAGAAAAGCATGGAAGGAGGATGAATAGAATCCAAGAGACCAAATTAATAAGCTATCATATTAGTCAAGCGAGAGAGAGGATGTGGTCCTGATACAGATTATTCCGAGCAGGGGACAGATGTATTCTGAGGAAGAACCAGCATGGGTCAGTGACGGGCTGGAGACAGAGCACAGAGAAAAGGAAGACAGAAGGCTGAGCCTTTGGGTTTCAGCCTGATTCGCTAGCGGGTGGTGGTGCCATTCTTTAAAGTGGGGAAGGCTTAGAAATCCAGAGCCGCGCTTTAGACAAGCAAAGGCAGATCTCAGGACTCACGGAATTTTAGATAAGAAAGTCGACCAAGAGTTAAGTCACTGACCAGGTCTTTTCAGCTCTAAAGGTCTTGCTCTTTCTTCTTGCCCCAAAGTAATTGCTTTACTTCTTTCTTGGTCCATTCGTGAGTATCGCTGTTTTCACTGTCTCTTGGATCAGCGCCCCATTCTCCCCTACTTGCCCCTCAGGCACAAGTAAACAAGACCTGGCATCCTTCGACATGGAGCTCTCGTCCAGTGGGATCAGCGCTGACCTCAGCAGGGTGAGTGGTGGGAGGGAAGCAAGGGGCCTGGGGAGCAGCCGCTGAGAAGCACGTTGTGAGCGTGCGACCCACTCCGAGAGGATGTCTGAGCCCCACTTACCTTCTCTGGGCAGGGCCGTGGAGTCGTGGGGGCAGTTGGAGCCAAGGACTGGACTGGGGGCTTTCTAGACCTGAAGGCAGACCTGCAGGATGACATATTCGTTGGGAATGAACCACTGACGCCGGAAGCCAGAGCGGGATACTTGGGTGAGGACTTCTCTTTTCTGCCAAGTACTTTAGGTTTACAAGGGGCCTGGAGCCACTCCCACTGGCTTTCAAAATAATAAGGAAAACAATTGAACAACCAGCAGGAACAACTCAGAGTTTAAATATGGTTATAACAGTTTTTTCTTGGACTCCCCGGGGTGCGAATGGTTAATACTCTCGGCTGCTAACTGAAAGGTTGGAGGTTCGAGTCCACCCAGATGCACCTCAGAAGAAAGGTCTGTTTATGAAAAATCAGCCGTGGGAAACCCTTGGAGCAAGTTCAGCTCTGACATGCATGGGGTCACCATGAGTCCGAACCAACTCAGCAGCAACTGATGCTGGTATGACATTGAAAACTTCCTAATTAGTCACTCGGGCCTTCACCTGGCTTATTGATAGGAGAGCTCCTTCTTGTGGCTTCATCCTCTTGAAATGTCCAACAACTCCAAAGGTTTATTCCATTTCAAAAGTTCCTCTGATGCCAAACATTGTTGTTGTTGTTGTTATATGCTGTCGAGTTGGACCCAACTCATAGCGACCATGAAGGACATGAAAGTCTGGTCACCCCACAGTTGCTCTGGCTTTTCTCTGTCTTTGGATGTCATTACTGAAGTCTTGTCATGCACAGTCCTGCGGGTGCCTGTCCACCCACTGTGACACCAGGCTTGGATGGCAGAGGGGCTTCACCTTAGTGCTCTGAGGTCGTAGCTCTGAGCTCACATCGTCAGCCCATCCCAAGGCACAGCTGGCTCCAAAAGCACTGAGGTAGGTCTGCTTCCAGGCCCTCCCTTTTCATGGATGGAGAACCACCCTCCCTCTACCCTACCCTATCCGTGACCACTGTAGTGGGGTGTGATCACTCCTATGTTCAACTCTCAGGACATAAGATCTTACTAAGTTCTTTCCTCAGGGAAGTTGGTGCAGCTCACCTTGGGTGCACCCTTCTAAGGAAGACTACTCTAAGTGATTTTTTAAAAATGCATTTTATTGCAATATAATTTTTTGCACAGTGAAATACACAAAAGTAAAGTGATATGGGTCAATGCATTTTTTTTTTGCAGTGTTCCCTCCCCTCCCCTCCCACCCCAGCAACCAACAAAGAAAGTCTCCCTCCATATATAAACCTTTCCTTGACCCTCCACAACAACGAACTAATACTATATTTGTCCTTCTGTGATTATTTCACTCAGCATAATGTCCTCCAAGTTCATCCATATTATGCGACGCTTTGCAGACTCTACATTATTCTTTAGTGCTGCATAGCATTCCATTATGTGTATGTACCATAGTTTGGTCATCCACTCTTCTGCTATAAACCTCTAAGTGATTTTTTTCTTTACTTTTTTTTTTTTAACTTTCTTTACTGAGTAAGTATTATGTGCCAGGGACTACTCTGAGCACTTTGCATTATTAAAATATTTCACCATGTTTTATCCTTACAACTACCCTGTGAGCAAGTATTTTTGTTATCTCCATTTTATGCAGGGAAGAACAGAGCCAAGGAGAGTTTAAGTAACTTGCTCAGGGTCTACCTGTAGGTCTGCTAATAGGTGGAGCCCAGGTATTCCAGCCCCAGAGTCTAAGCTATTAACCACTATACTGACTGCCTTCAAAGTGGTTTTCTGTTCTCGAATGCACTATAAATAGCTGGAAACTTTGCTCACTAAAGTAGGGGAAAAAACTATAGTTTAATATCTAGTTAGGCACCTTGCTATATATATATATATCTAATATATGTATTAGGTATATATAATATATATTTTGTATAAGGAGCTCTGGTGGCATAGTGGTTAAGACGTTTGACTGTTATTGACTGTTAATCACAAGGTTGATGGTTTGCACCCACCAGCCACTCCATAGAAGAAAGATGGGGCAATCTGCTTCTGTAAAGATGTATAGCCTTGGAAACCCAGAGGGGGTCACTCTGAGTCAGAATCGACTCAAGAGCAGTAAGTTTGGTTTTCTTTTTGAATTTATATACATATAATATATATATTGAGTTTGTGTGTGTATATATATATACACATATATATATACTTGTTGTTGTTATGTGCCGTCAAGTCGGCCCCAACTCATAGCGACCGCTCCTTGGGTTTCTGAGGCCGTATCACTATGGAAGTAGGATTGTCCAACCTTCCTTCCAAGGAGTGTCTGGTGGGTTTGAACCGCCAGCCTTCTGGTTAGCAGTCAAATGCCTTAGGCACTACATTACCAAAGCCTATATGTATATATATGTACATATGTTTGTGTGTAGCTCTAGAGACATAGTGTTTAAAGCATTTGGCTGCTAACCAAAAGGTTGGTAGTTCAAACCCACCAGCTGTTCCATGGGAGCTAGATGAGGCAGTCTGCTTCTGTAAAGATTTATAGCCTTGGAAACCCTATGGGGCAGTTCTACTTTGTCCTATAGGATCACTATGAGTCAGAATCAACTTGGTGGCAGTGGGTTTGGGTTTGGTTATATGGATATACATAGATGTATCTGTAGAGAGACAGAGAGAGACCAGGTCCCTGGGCAGTGCAAGCAGTCAAGTACACTGCTGCTAACCGAAGGTTGGCAGTGCGAGTCCATCAGAGGTAACTCAGACGAAAGACCTGACAACTTAACTTTTAAACAAAGCAGGCACTGAAACCCTACATAGCACAGTTCTTTACACCTGGGGTCTGGTCTTATACATATATTAGGCATCGTGCTAAATGTTTCCTATTCACGGTCTTATTCCATCCTCAAAACCACCCTATGAGATTCGTACTGTACTCGGCTTTTAGATGAGAAAACTGAGGCCCAGGACATCGAGTGCTTTACTCAAGATCGCACAGTTAGGAAGGAGTGGAACTAGGACTCTTATTTATTTTGCACATAAGATTTCATCTCAACTCTGTTACATGTGTTGTTGTTGTTAGGTGCATCGAGTTGGCTCTGACTCATAGCAAACCTGTGCACAGTGGAACGAAAGACTGCTTGGCTCTGTGCTGTCCTCACAATCTTTGCTGTGGTTGAGCCCATAGCTGCAGCCGCTGTGTCAATACGGCTCATTGAGGGTCTTCCCCTCTTTTCCTGGAGGCACTCATCTGTCCGTTTGTCCTGCTGCGGTGGCTTGCGTGTTGCTGTGATGCTGGAAACTGTGCCTCTGGTGTTTCAAATACCAGCAGGGTCACCCATGGTGGACAGCTTCCAGACTGTTCAATGGAGCTTCCAGACTGAGACAGACCGGGAAGAAGGACAGGGCCATTCGCTTCTGAAAAAATTGTTGTTGTTATGTGCCGTGGAGTTGGATCCGACTCATAGTGACCCCTCCTTGGGTTTCCGAGGCAGTACCACTACGGAAGTAGATTGCCCAACCTTCCTTCCGAGGAGGAGTGGCTGGTGGGTTTGAATTGCCAGCCTTCTGTAGCAGCCAGATGCCTTTAGCATTACAATAGGACTTGAAAAGAGAAGGATAAAAAAAAAACAAAAAAAAACCACATTGCCATCAAGTTGGTCCGGACTCATAGCAACCCTCACTGGGTTTCTGAGGTGGTAAAACTTTATGGAAGTAGATTGCCCAGTCTTCCTTCCACAGAGTGGCTGGTGGGTTTGAACTGCCAACCTTCTGGTTAGCAGTCAAATGCCTTAGGCACCAAGCCACCAGAGCTCCTTAAGAAAAGAGGAAGGAGAAATATAGATCAATCACTGGCTAATCTTCATGTGATAGATTGAGCTTGCCTGCCTTTCCTCTTTACTGGAAGTAGATTGCCCAGTCTTCCTTCCACAGAGTGGCTGGGGGGGTTGAACTGCCAACCTTCTGGTTAGCAGTCAAATGCCTTAGGCACCAAGCCACCAGAGCTCCTTAAGAAAAGAGGAAGGAGAAATATAGATCAATCACTGGCTAATCTTCATGTGATAGATTGAGCTTGCCTGCCTTTCCTCTTTACTGGAAAAAAAAAAAAAAAAATCTCAACTGAAAAAAGAAAAATTCACTTCCAACTCATAATGACCTCCCACTAAGGCTGTAAATATTTACCGAAGCAGATTGTGGCTGGTGGGTTCAAGCCACTGACCTTTTGGTTAGCAGCCAAATGCCTTAACACTGCACCACCAGAGCTCCTTCCCTTTACTGCAGCCCACTGAGACCAGGTTACTTCTGGCTTCAAAAACCAAATTCACTGCAACCCACTGATACAGGTTACTCTGACTTCAAAAACCAAACTCACAAGTCGGCTGAACTCTTAGTCACCCCTCCACCCCTCCTTGGGTTTCCGAGGCGGTATCACTATGGAGTGGCTGGTAGGTTTGAACCGCCAGCCTTCTGGTTAGCAGTCAAATGCCTTAGGCACTACGCCACCAGAGCCCCCACTTCTGGCTTGGTTCATTATAATACTTTACGTCATCATTTTCTTCCATTCATTTTAACTACTCTCCATTCAAGAACAAGTTCCAGGGTCTCTTCTGACATCTATGTGCTCTTTCCTGTCTTTTTAATGTCCTTTTGCTTTCTTCATGTATAATTTCCTTAATGTCTTTCCACAACTTATCTGGTCTTTGGTCATTGGTGTTCAGTGCATCAAATCTATTATTCAGATGGCTTTCGAATATACTTGTTTTGGTCTCCAATGCTGCTCTAACAGAAAATAACACAAATACGTGGCTTTAACAAACAGGGATTTATTCTCTTACAGTTTAGGAGGCTAGAAGTCTGAGTTCAACGTGCAAGCTCTAGGGGCTGAGTGAAAGCCCTTGACCTTGGGCTTCAGCTCTGCTTCTTGCTCTTGGCCCCCTGGAACTGGAGACATCTCTTCACTCAGGCAGCTGCTGGCTGCTGAGGCTAGCAAGCCCAAGGTCGACAAATAAAATGGCACAGTCTCAAGATTACCAAACAACACGGCAGGCCACTAGTTCAAGTCCAGAAACAGTCTCAAGACCGGTAGGCAATCATGGCAAGTTGCTGAATGATGACTCGGCTACATGCAGGGTCCAAGCATGCCAAAAAGCTGCAGAGACCTTTCTTAAAACTTCTCCTTATATACAGGAAGCAGACCACATCCAAAAGGCAGCTACTCAGCTGCTCACAGTAGATTCCACCATGGAGTTGATTATCAGTCTCATCATGGGGAATAACTCCATCCAGCTGCCCAGCCACTCAGAACCAGGCCCAGCCAAGTTGACATGCAACCTTAACTACCACAGTGCTCAAGATCATGTTTTGGCTCTTGTTGACTTGTTTTACATTTTTTTTTCCGTTTCAACTTAAACTTGTATGTGAGCAATTGAGTGAGTAGGAAAGGAGTTCCAGTCTCTTCACCCTTCCTCTCATGTGCTACACCATCTTGGACATCTCTCTTCTTCCTGCTCACTTTCAACTGCTCTAGGCAGGGCAAGTCCTGGTTAGGTTGCTTGCAGCATGTGCTCAGACATTGCATCAGTGCATCTCAGTGCAGTAACAGAGGAGACAGCCCTCCACAGCGGGAGCTGTGACGTGTGAGGGCAGCCTGAAGTGACATCATTAAGCATGAAAAGGGGTAGTTTTCCTATGTTTTTTACTTTTTCTGTGGTAAATAGTATAGATAATTAAACATTTGCCATTTCAGCCATCTTCACATGTACAGTTCCGTGACTTTAAATACGTTCATTATGTTGTTCAAGCATCACCATCCCTAAATGTTTCCATCACCCTAAGCTCAGTGTCCCCTAAACATTATGTCCTCATTTCTCCCTCCCTCTCACTCACCCCTGATAACCACTAATAAACTGTTTTATTTTCTAATATTTATGCAAACTAATAGTTATGCCAAGAGATTTGGAGGACAGCTACCTGGCCAACTGACTGGAAGAGATCCATATTTGTGCCCATTCCAAAGAAAGGT